ATATTCACACAACAATATCCTCACCTCACTGTCACCGAACAAAGGGTTGTTGATCAAAAACGAACAATTATACACAACAACCTTATCCCACAAACAACACTTGAACTTATCAAACAACAGGTTGCTGATCAAATACATCAACAGACAGAAACATTTAACATTAATGAAGATCACGTAACCTGTCAGGATAATCCAGCAACAAGCACTGATTACAGCACACACACAACAAGTACCACTAATGATACTGCAGGCACTTCCCCATCCATCACTGATAACATAGACATAGAATTAGTTAATACGCTCTCACTTATATTTCAGGAAACACTCATTAAATATACTGGTACAGATCCCACACAAAGACCACGAATACCAAAAATCAACACGTCAAAGGCAGTAGGAAAAACACTAGATTATGTAAACACTCACTTACTACCAAACTACATTCATTCAATTTCTACACTCTCAGACATTCATACATTAGTTTATGCTGGGGCAGTCACAGTAGTAACACACCATGGACTGAAAATACACTCACAGACAGACACACACAAAACACAATTCTATCACAAGCCTGCCTGGCAGAGAAGAATAGAAACACAAATAAATGACATTAGACAGCAATTAGGCAGGCTGACACAATACACTAAAAACAACATAACACCCAAATTAAAGAAACAACTCAAAAACATTAAATAATATGCATCTATGTCCTTAATTTAATCAAAATTATTCTTTCAATCACTATATCAGTGTATTTCTATTAATAGGACTTATCATACTGGTGTATTTTTCAATTACCTGGTAATTGAAAAATAAAACAATTTTAATCTGTGTAACTGTGAGGCTGTAAACTTATACACCAGTATGATAAGTCCTATTAATAGAAATATGCTGATATAGTGATTGAAAGAATAATTTTGAACTAAAAATCATTTTCAAGAAAATCAAAACACACACAAAACATGAACATTACAACACACACATTACAGAATACATCGATACACTAAAACAAAAACTCGCAGCCAAAGCACGTAGACTCAAACGATACAAAACATGTACATTACGAAAACAACAAAATAAATTATTCACAAACAACGAAAAACTTTTCTACAGACAAATCAGTACCAAAACAAACACTGATACACAGCACAGTGGCACACCAACAGAAGAAGAACTCACAACTTATTGGTCTTCTCTTTGGTCCAATGCTGTTACACACAATGCTGATGCAGGCTGGATCAAGGAGGAGAACAGAAACTTGCATAACATACCAAGTATGCCCTGTGCTGAAATAAACATACACGACATTCGCTACGCTGTTAACAGAACACACAACTGGAAGACACCTGGTGTAGACAACATTCACAATTTCTGGTACAAAAAGTTTACATCACTGCACCAGGAACTAGCTAAACATCTAACACACATCATCATCAATCCACAAGACATGCCAAAATTTCTTACTCGGGGCATTACCTACATGAAACCTAAAAACAACAAAACCACAGACCCCACACAATACAGACCAATTACATGTCTTCCAACACTCTACAAATTATTGACATCCTGTATCACAAACAAAATATACAAACATGTTGAAGAACACGACATTCTTACAGAACAACAAAAAGGTTGCCGTAGAAATCACAGGGGATGCAAAGAACAGTTACTCATAGATTCAGTCATTCTACGGCAAGCACACAAACAACACAGAAACATACACATGGCATATATAGACTACAGAAAAGCATTCGACAGTGTTCCACACAGTTGGCTGCTACATATTCTACACATGTACAAAATACATCCATCACTCATTGCATTCTTCGAAAACACTATGCAGCACTGGAGAACAACACTACATCTCAGGGTTAGTAACACTTCCATACAAACAAACGAAATATTCATTAGGCGAGGAATTTTTCAAGGAGATTCCTTGAGTCCTCTCTGGTTCTGCCTAGCCCTGAATCCATTATCCAACATGTTAAACAACACGCAATACGGCTACAATATCAGACACGAAAAAACAACACAGTTTACACTCTCACATCTCATGTACATGGACGACATAAAACTTTATGCATCCACACAAAAACAACTTCATCAACTCCTACAAATCACACATTCATACACTAAGGACATACAAATGGAGTTTGGCCTAGACAAATGCAAAAAACTTCACATAGAAAAAGGAATCCTGAAGAAAGAAGATTTTGCACTTGGAAATGGAGACGTTATTGAATCCATGGAAGAGGGCGAGTTCTACAAGTACTTAGGATTCCAACAGGCCAAACTAACAGAACATACACAAATAAAGCAACGATTAATTAAAGAATACCAAAGTAGGTTAAACGCTATACTTAGAACACAGTTAAATGCAAAACACACAGTTAAAGCAATAAACACATATGTCATCCCAGTACTCACATACTCTTTTGGAGTTATACATTGGACTCACACAGATCTCGAGCAACTCCAAAGGAAAACAAGAACAACACTTACTAAGCATAAACAACATCATCCTAAATCCGCCACAGAAAGATTAACCCTTCCACGTAAAGAAGGCGGACGTGGCCTGATTGACATAGTTAACCTTCACTACAAACAAATACAGTCACTGCGAGAGTTTTTCTACAAGAAACAAGAAACATCACAGTTACATAAAGCAGTAACTCTAGCAGACTCAAATAACACACCATTAAACTTACACTCACAACATACAGACATGACACAACATATAAAAAGCATAGACAACATTAAGCAATCATGGGCTCAAAAGGCTCTCCATGGCAGGCATCCTTACGACCTGGCCCAGGATTTTGTTGACAAAACTGCGTCAAACAGCTGGTTAGATCGGGGATGCCTCTTTGGGGAGACGGAAGGATTCATGATTGCCATACAGGATCAGGTCATAAATACTAAAAACTACAGAAAACACATACTCAAAGATACAACACTCACAAATGACACATGCAGAAAATGTCACATCATGCCAGAAACTATACAACACATCACTTCTGGTTGCAAGCTCTTGGCACAGACAGATTACTTACATAGACACAATCAAGTAGCAAATATAATACACCAAGAGCTTGCAAAGAAACACAAATTGGCAGACATCCACGAACCATACTACAAGTATATTCCACAGACAGTATTGGAAAATAACACGCACAAAATGTATTACGACAGAGCCATAATCACAGATAAAACAATTTATCACAACAGACCAGACATCACACTCATTGACAAACACAATAAAATCACATACATTATAGACATAGCCATTTCAAACACCCACAATGTACAAAACACATGCACTGAAAAAATTAGCAAAGTACACAGAACTCGCCCAGGAAATAAGGCATCTGTGGAGGATGGAAAGGTTGCTTATTGTACCTGTCATTTTCTCCTGTACAGGTGTGATACTACACACACTACACAAAAGCCTGGGCACATTACAATTAAGTAGAAATACATACATCACACTACAGAAGGCCACTATATTGAATACATGCCACATTGTTAGGAAATTCCTGACACACACGCTGACACACTTATTTAATTTTAGTTTTGTTTTGGTTGCTATGCCTTGACTTTGATCCGGCATAGTACACAGCCGCCTGTTTAAACCGAGTATTACCCACTTAACCTAAACACAATAATAATAATAATAATTTGAGATAATTTGGTATTACAATTAGGTGTTAGGCACCATCTCATGCTAAATTTAATAATTATAATTTTAATTAAATAATTTAAATAAATTTAGAACTAACTGAAAGAAAAGAATTGGCCCAGAGTGGGACTTGAACCTGTAACTCCTGCTTACTGTGCAGATGGCAACATTACTTTAATGTTTATCGGGTTAGCTGATGTTTGTTTATATAAATTATCAACAACCGTGTGGCAGATAATAGTGAAGGCTTATCAGACCAATGATGGGCACAAACGCTCGGGAATCAAAGTGAAAATGTTTCCATACTTATGCAGTCATTTTTGTGTTTATTAAACATTTTCACTTTGATTCCCAAGCGTTTGTGCCCATCATTGGGCTGATAAGCCCTCACTATTATCTGCCTCACGATTGTTGATAATTTAATTAATATAAGTATTTCATAAATTCTGTGTCATGTCATAATTTTTATGTTCTAGTCTACTGAAAAAAAATCAAAGCAAAAAAAATCCCAAAAATTTCTCAAATATTTTGTCAGTTGACAAAAAATTGCCAATCTGAAAATGTTGGGTGGCATTGCATAAATATTGCCTTTGGTTCTCATTGTCACTTCCTGCTTTTTCCATTTGAACTTGTCATGTAATGTCATGAAATAACTTGGTGTTTGATGCACATAAGCTTGAAATTCTGCTATTTTTCCCAAAGCATGCTTTGTGATTCAATTTCACACTAAACATTGAATTAAATGGATTAGAGTTTTTATCACCAGTATTATATTTTTATCTCCACTTCAATAAAAATATTGCCAAGTGGCAATTTTGGCACTATGCAGTGCAACCCCTGAAAATAAATGCAAATGCTAACCTTTTTAATTTCAGTAAATTTGTCAATAAATTTTGTATTTGGTAGTATCTATCATTTATATATTACACTGTATTGTTTTATTATTGTAAATTCTTTGAGTAAAAAAGAAAGAAAATAGAGAGAAGACTGTTGAAAGCATAAAATGATTTAATTTTTATATTAATTTCTTAAACTTTTTATTAGCAAATATATAACAAATAATTATACAAAAAAATATTGTTTGTTGTATTGAGTTTATATATTATAGAATTTTGATATATATACAA